GATTTACGACTACCCTTTTTTTTTTTTTTTTTTTTGCATTGCATTGCATGCACACTCATTTGTAGCACTATCGCGTATATAATGAGGGAGGCTTCATCATGATCGATGCACTAATGAGGGAGGCTTCATCATGGATAATGGGCTGATTGTAGCCGAGTGATGGCATCAGCAGTTCAGAATCACCATTCAACACCTTATGATGCACTCGTACTGCTGAAGGCTGCAAAATTTTAGAATATGACATAAATACAAAGTCTATATCATGAATATTTTGACTCCACAATTAATGGGACGAAATAATATATATATATATAAAGAAAAAGCAACACAACAGATTAATAGCTATGTCCTCCAGTCGAGTCCTCCTCTAAATAGATAAGAATAGAAATAAGAAGAGCGTAGAAATAAAATACTTCGGATCCTTAGTCCTATTATGGAACTTCCTTGTAGGGATGGCAACCGGGCGGGGGATGCTGCCTACAAACTCCCCCTCGCCCCCGCCCCATCCCCCGTCCCCCACTCCCCACACCCCGTCCCCGCCCCACTTCTCTCACGAGTGTTCCCGTGAGACTAATAAAAATTTGTTATATAATTTTATTATGGTTAAATTTTAGCAAATAATCAAATACTAAAATATCAACACATCATCAAATTATTATTCATTATAATTTTACAATTGAAACTTATAAAAACAATCAAACAAAAATTATTTGAATACAATCCAACATGATGAAATAAATATAACTAAAGTAGTCAAGTTTTTACTTTTGGTACAAATACAATCACTAATTCATTATTGTGCTTGTGCTTTTTTTAAGAAAAAAATGTTATTGTATTAAGTATAATTAGGGATTTAGTATAAATGTATTAGTAAACTTAGTATAATCAATTAATAATTTGTATTAATACACATATATAATTATTAGTATAATTAATAATATCAATTATATTATATATACTATGACATCATATAATACATATAACTAATAATATCATTATCATAAATTTATAACTAATTAAATTATATATTATATATATAATTATATACCTATATATATTTTATATATTTATTTTTTTTAAACGGGTGACGGTGCGTGGGTAGGGCGGGGGTACACTCCCCCGCCCCCGCCCCGTTTTTAGGTGGGGGAAAAAATTCCCCCCGCTCCCGCCCCATTAGCCCCCAGCGGGGCGGGTACCCGCCCCATTGCCATCCCTATTTTCTTGTCCAGTCTCACTTTTCAAATTCTAACACGTGTTACATGATATCACTTAGATTAATTTTTATAGTACGATTCATTACAAGTGTCGTGATTTGAAGAGGGAAACTTGATAAGATGGCTCCATATTGAGGCTAAGAATCGAAAGTGTATTTAAAAGGAAGCGGCAGAATTTTGAGGCGTATACCTACCTAACCTTTCCATAACAAAAAATGGGGAGAAAATTGTGTACAAGAACATTGGTATTATTGTTACTTCTTTAAAAATTTTCATCTCATGAAATTTTAGTAAGACGAGTCTTGGTTTTCTATATACTCATATAATAGGTGCTGAAAAATTCAAAATCTTGGAGGTCTCATTGCTTTCTTCTTCTGTGCTTCGTTTTCATTTGTCCCTTCATTATTATGTGGTGTTGGGCTTATTTGGGAGCATCATGATGGCAAATGTGATGATTGTTGGGAGGCTGTCACAGCAGAAATTATCCTGCCGTTACAAGCATATTTCAAACTGTCGTTGAGTGGAAACTTCAACAGAAAATTAACCAAAAGCTATCGAGCATGGCTAACAATTGCATGGGAGGCTGTTTCCGAGAAAGAAAGAGGACAAACTCAACAAGGACGTTTGGACAAGTTCGAAACCCATTTGGAATGGTCGATGACATATTTGCAATGCCAATTCAATGTCATCTATATCATTACGTCAAGTGTCCTGTTATTATTTGTACTTTATTTTTTAATAATTCAAATTAGTTTGGTTTAACAAAATTTTCTTAACCCTCTAAACTTTTGAATCAAAATTTAACCAACCGATTCAATTTCACTTGGGTTTCTTTTGTACGGCAACCACTGAAAAAAAAAAAAAAAAGATAATCCTGCCGCACCACTTGGGATTCTCGGTGACATGTTTTCTATGCCAATTCAATGTCACCTATAATATTGTGCCAAGTGTCCTGTTATTATTTACACTTTAATTTTCTAATAATTTTCAAATTATTAGAAAATTAAAGTGTAAATAATAACAGGACACTTGACGCAATACTATAGGTGACATTGAATTGGCATAGAAAAACATGTCACCGAGGATCCCATGTGGTGCGCGCGTTGCCCCCAAAGTCCAAACCTTTTCATCGTTGATTGCTTTGAACAAAGTCAAAGAAAAAAAAAGAAGCATGATATTCTAGCTTCCCCCAAGAAACCAGTTCAAAGAATTCATCCAGACAAGCAAGACAAATTTAATTGTAACGATTGGTTACAATTAAACGACACCGTTCCGCGGCAGCTTTCTTCAATGTTGCTCTTCTCGTTCTCCGCTGCTGCAACATTTTTTTCAGTCCAAACCGAGATTTCTAAAGAGGCCGAATTCAAGCCTTCTTTATCGAATGCAAAAACCTGATCCCACCCCATGTCGTTACAGGCCTGGGATTTTGTTTTGATCGCGTGGGTTCCAATCACGAGTTTTACAAATGCTGAAGAATTTGCTGGTGGATTAGTAAGCTTCACCTTGGTGACACGAACGTAAAGAAAAGGCATTTGATCCACGAGATCAAAACCAGAGCGGCGGTCCATGCTGCCGGAGAGAGCTTTGTCTAGCTTCAGTCTCATCATTTCCACGTCTTTCTCAGCCATGGCAACCTTTTCCTTCTGGGTTTTTTGTGGGGTCTGAGACAGCGCAGGTTGCTGCACCTCTGGCGGTGGTGGTGGTGCCGACGCTGTAGCCTCCGTAGCCGCAGGTGCCTTTGACGGTGAGCCAATCAGCAGCGAAGATGAGCCAATCAAAAGGACCTCATTTGAGGAAGAAGGAATCGGCAGTGAAGTGTGGACCTCATCGGAGTGAATTGGAGAGTTTGAAGGGTTTGAAGGCAATCAATGATGAAAGTATTGGTAGATGAATTAGACCGGTGGTTAATTTTGGTTCAAAGGTTCAGAGGGTTAAGAAAATTTGTGTTAAATCAAATCAATTTACTTTATTAGAAAATTAAAGTGTAAATAATAATAAAACACTTGGCGCTATGCTATAGGTGGCATTGAATTGGCATTGCAAATATGTTACCGAGAATCCGGGTTAAGAAAATTTGTGTTAAACCAAATCAATTTGCTTTATTAGAAAATTAAAGTGTAAATAATAATAAGACATTTGACGCTATGCTATAGGTGGCATTGAATTGACATTGCAAATATGTCACCGAGGATCCCAAGTGTTCGAAACCCTAGCATCATCCACAGATTTCGACCCACGATCACCTTGCAACACTTTCTTGTAGAAACTAGAAACTAGAGAGCACCTCTTCCATAGTAAAGCTGGGGAACTTCGCTAAGGCAGTATTTGTTTTGGCCGGTCGCTTTTTCTTTTGGTAAATTCCGCATGCACTATCTTAATATCCATGATTTGTGTTAGATATCATGGGGAACCAACACCCCGTAAAGTAAATAATGCAGCTTACCTTTTCTCTAAAAGATCAAACAAGAAAATTGTGACTAATTTGTATGTGCTAAACTAGTACCCTTTAGGACAATCCTATTCAAAATTCTACTTTTATTTAATTTTTTTTTTTTGAAAAATTATACTTTCATTTGATGCCATATCACATGCCTAATTAATGAGTGTGGAGATTTTGGCAATTCAATAGTCTTCCTCTCATGCCATGTTGGGTAAATTGATATGACATCTAAATGCTAGTAGCAATTAAGCTACGTTTGGTAAAATGGTACTATTACTACATCTAAATGCTGCCCGTTAAGGATTGATAGTTGCTCCTATCACCTATGGATGTAGCATATAGGCTCCACTTTGGCAAATGAGTTTTTTTTTTTTTTTTTTTTTGTGTTTGTTTAAAACTTTACTGTATAAGTTGTAAGAAAAATTCTCGAAGTGTGTATATTTTTTAATATTTTGAAATGTAAAGTTTAAAAATTTTGAAAAGTTACTGTAGCTAAAGTTATTAAAAAAACTTTATCAGACAAATTTGATCAAAAACTTATTTGTCAAACAGGCACATATAGTCTGGCTGTTCACCTTCTTCGGAGTTTGTAATCGTAATAAACCCTCGGCCGCGAATAATTAACCCGTATCTGCACGTGCCTAAAAATGAACAACAGCCCCATCCCTCCTCAAAGGCAGCATTAGGCAAGTATTGCAATATAATGGCATTTCAAGATTTGCAGTGAATTTAATTTCACTTTCCAATCTCCAGAACCCGATAACAATTTTGGTTCCAAACAGAGTACTGACCTAAGTTTATTTTTATTTCCAACATCGTAAATCCAAACAGAATCTACTACTGATTGTTAATATTTCTCCGAACGGAATTGGTTCACATTTCTAAAGCTTTTTACAGAGATTTTATAGATAGTATAAAGTTACAACACGATACTCTTGCTCCTCCTAAGCATGAAATCGTATGAAATGCTTGCACCTTGGTGAGCTAGAGATATCCAATGGAGCTAGAAATATGCACAATTCCGGAAATACATAATACTATAGAAGTATTAATTAAGTGGAGGAGTTCAAACTTCTGATTCATGAAGTTTAATTATCTACTTTCAACGTCCTTAATTGCTTTTTCCAGCCATCTATGCGTGCTAATTGAAGTCCGCACCTCTAGAGCACTAAAACCTCTCTGGTCCCTGTCCCATGCCATATTGGTTACGGCAAATTCATCTACGATTTTCTTCCAATTTTTTGAGTGTTAATCTCTCGTTGAATTAGTGCTCATGCTGCTGTGTTTGGCTCCATCTTCTTACTTTCTGCGCTAAATTGGAAACAAGTTCTCCAGGAAACACTCTTTGAGTTCTGCGACATGTGATTCAAACAAACTCTCAATATTTCTTATTTTTTGTATCCCAGTGAGTAGTTTTACCGAGTGCAAATTGATCGGATCCATATTGCAGACATATAAGGAGGACAGAATAAAAATGAGGGAGCCAGGCTTAGGCAAGAACAATATGGGGAGATCTTCTGTAGCCATACTTTTCTTGGTCCTTCTCTGCATAGGCGCCTTCTTGACTACGCATTTGCTTGATTCATCTTCAAATGTAAGTGCTCAAACCTTGTATGCATGTTTTATCGAAGCGATTGCTTATTCTAAATCCGAGACTCATCTCAATAAGTGAGCTAAAACGCAGGTAGACTCGTTAATAGCGTACCACTTTGTTGTTAGCTCGCATCCCACGAATATTTACATTTCAGTCCATCAACTACAGAATTCAGATCACATCAGGCGAATTATTATAATTAAAAAAAAAAAAAAAAAGCAATTGACGTGAGGTTTAACATGCAAGATAAATCAATCACAGGAAAGTTGGTCCTGGAGCCGATTTTGGCTTCATAAAGACATCAAAGTTGCGTCTAATTGTAACATGCCAAAGTTGCGTCTTGATCAGCGCTGAACCGAGGGACGAGGCCGTCTTTTGGGTTTGGAAGGAAATCAACAGTAATTCTAGTTGATTGCTCATGTACTCGGACAATTGAAATCGAATACTAATCTCCATATTCAGCAATTTAATCTAATCATGGCTCCCTACTTGTATTTCTTGCTCAATCTGCAGCTGATTCCCGGAAGTTCCCGACAAGGATCAACATTTTCCGCCAAAACATCTAAGACACCGGAAGAACCCCTGAACCGGTCTAATAAACTAGAATTCCAGCTGAATTGTTCACTTGGTGACGAAACTCGGATCTGCCTAGGCAGTTACTACCCATCCAAGTTTATGTTACAGAACCCTGACCCTTCATCATCAACACCGCAGTCTATGTGTCCAGATTACTTTCGTTGGATCCACGAAGATCTATCGCCATGGAGAGAGACAGGGGTTACAGAAGAAATGGTGAGGATGGCTGGGAGGACAGCCAATTTCCGAGTTGTTGTAGTTAACGGGACGGCCTATTTGGAGACTTTTGACAGATCGTTTCAGACTAGGGATGTATTCAGTCAGTGGGGAATATTACAGTTGTTGCGGAGGTATCCTGGTAAAATCCCTGATTTGGATCTAATGTTTGACTGCGATGACTCCCCAGTTGTGAGGAAGGAATTCCACCGTGGCCCCGATGCCCCGCCCCCGCCGCCAGTGTTCCGCTATTGCAAGGATGATGCCACCTTGGACATCGTTTTCCCGGATTGGTCGTTCTGGGGATGGTACAAATGTCTAATCCGAGTTTAGAAGTTGAAGTAGACTTGCAACTTAAATTTATGCAAAGGATTTAGCTCTCTCTCTCTCCTAAAAGAAATTCTTTCGTTTTGGACAACATATTTCAGGGCAGAAATCGATACAAGGCCGTGGGCGCCTTTGTTGAAGGAAATGAAAGATGGGAACGAGAGGAGTAAATGGAAGGATAGGAAGCCATACGCTTATTGGAAGGGCAACCCTCATGTTGCGGAAGGCAGGGTGGATTTGCTCAAATGCAATGTTTCTGACAAAGAGGACTGGAACGCTCGTCTTTACGTTCAGGTAACAGACTTCATAATAAACTCTCACTTGATTTGGAATATTATGATTATTAACCAGAAGCATGATCAAAGTAATAGTAGCCTTTATAAGCTCCTACCTGGTCTGGGTTATATGTTATTCATGAAACGTATGACCAAGTGAATTCGGTAGGCACTACAGTCAATAATCGGCATGCATGATTTATACGTTATTTTACAAACCACGTACCCTATTTGACGGAAATTGGAGCTGTGAAATGCTGGACTTAGTTGAGTTCCCTGTACGAGTATTCTTTCGGTGTTGTTTACTCCTCTAATCGCTGGCCAACGTTTCAAAAACTTGTTTTAGTGATTGATTATGGTGGAAACCGGTGACTACGTTAAATTAACACATTGTAGATTTCCATGATCACTTTCGCAGGACTGGAATAAAGAACAAGAACAAGGTTACAAAGAATCTGTCTTGGCAGACCAATGCGTCCACAGGCATGGTTCTATCATACTCTGCTCTCTTTCTAGGCAATTTATTCAATTGTTGCTCCTCTCTTTCCTCTTCCTATGTGCCTTGATGATGCTATATGCTTCTTTGTGCCAACTTCATTGAAAATCCGTATGAACCATACAGGTATAAAATCTATATCGAAGGATCCGCATGGTCGGTCAGTCAGAAAAACATTTTGGCCTGCGATTCTGTAACCTTACTAGTGAAGCCACAATACCACGAGTTCTTCTCGAGAGGTTTGATGCCCCTGCAGCACTACTGGCCTATAAGAGCCGATGACAAGTGCAGATCCATAAAGTATGCTGTTGAATGGGGCAATAACAATGAAAAACAGGTGATTCATTCGTCAACTTGACAGCTAAATTCAACCCAGTATTTGATGGAAGCTTAGTTTTAAAGATGTACTGTTCACTATTAGAAAGAAAGACGGTCGAATGTTTGCATTCATGGCTTTGAAAGTTGTCTCCTGCATCTCATAGCTGCATTCCAAATCTTCAATGCATGCATGTTCTTGTTCTGCCAACCAAACCTCGACGAGACACAGTTAATTCTATTTGTAGTTACGCCTAAAAAAAGAATTCGTTTTCACTTGATTGATATCACAGGCAGAGGAAATAGGCAAGGCAGGGAGTAGTTTCGTTCAAGAGGAACTGAAAATGGATTATGTTTATGATTACATGTTTCATCTCCTAAGCCAGTACGCTAAGCTTCTGAAATATAAGCCAAGCATTCCTCCAAAAGCGATTGAACTTTGCTCGGAGTCGATGGCTTGCCCCGCACAGGCATTAGAGAAGAAGTTTATGATGGAGTCGATGGTTGGAGGTCCCAGCAGTGAGGCTCCATGCATCATGCCTCCTCCGTATGATCCTGCAGCTCTTCATTCTATTCTAGAGGAAAAACAGAACTCAATACAGCTAGTAGAAGAATGGGAAAAACAACACGGGGATGGTGAAAGGAAGCATCCTTAGGTATGGATGGATTACCGTGTTTTCTGAGTCCAATTTATTGTTTATTATAAGCAAATAGAGAGCACAGCGAAAAATAAATGTACATTTGTACTGTCACGGTGTTAAAAATTCGCCTTAAATCAAAGGAAGGAAACCAAAACTGAAGGTTTCTACGGTAAATTGTACCCCAATTAGATCAAATATTGAAAAAGAATGAGCAAGCAGCTTCTTCTTCTTCTTCTTCTTTTTCCTTCTTCCTTTCGACATAGAAAAAGTGATTCTATAAGGAATTAGACAAAGTCTTCATCGTGTAAATCATTTTACTTTGTATAAAACAAAGTATCTCTAAAATAAAAAGAAAAAAGAATTAGACAAATGTTATGAAATCAATGAAACGTGGATGTTTATGCATCCCTTTAAGTTGCATTCGATCAATTCATATCCTTCTACATTCATTAGTGCATTAATCTCTTCCAATGCCTTATTGACACACTCATTAGACTTAGATTTCATTCCTTAATAATTAATTGTACACGTTATCCCCTTTAGGTGGAAGGCTTTGAAGTCTCTCATTTCCACATAATTGAACCCACCAAGAGGGGTCCAATGAAATAAAAAAAAAAAGAATTCATTTCCTTGTTCTATTCTTTCTATTAGCCTACAATGTTAAGCTTACAACATCTTTTTATTAGGTTTACAAAAACATATGATCCAGTCTACATGATGTATCATCAAATATACAAGAAGAAATAGATAGTACAATTTTTCTTTTTATTTGTTATTCGTTTGGATTTTCGTGCTTTTCAAAAATAATTTTTTTAAATACACCACTATAGTAATACACAAATTAAAATAACGCAAAAAAAATTTTTTTTTTCATATACACTGCTGCTACAGTAAAATTTTTCAAAAACACATCCACGAATGACTAATCCAAACAGTTTATTCAAAAACAGGAGGGTTAATACAAAAGTCTTTGGTCGATACGAAAGTCTTTGTCCCACATATTTCGTCTCGACTCCATCTCTCGCTTGACTAATAATAAATAGGGTGGGGAGATTTTGTCAATACGAAAGTCTTCTATGTTTGGTAAATGCTACTCCATTACACGATGAACATCTGGTCATTAAAGCAACAATTACGCATTCATAGTTCTTCCGTTCACATATGCAGCCTCTTTCCGGGAGATCGTTAGCAACAGACTCTCTATTCCAGCAGCGAGGAAGGGGAACAGGAGCAAAGGCCATCTCCAGTAAGTCAGTTTCTATTATTAATAAACTCCATCGCTTTCCAGCACAGAGGCCATACTCGGGTGAATTAGCATGAGTAGATTTCGGAAACCAATTTATTATTGTTAACCATCAACGATGCAAGCAATGCAGCAGTTTAGCCATGGTAAAATAGAGGATGGAAATGTTAGAGAGGCCGGGTTGAGTAGAAAACAGGTGGAGTTCATAGATTAGCATTTATATTTTCAGAGATGACACATTTCGAAAATTTTCCATTACAGACATTAGAGGACTCTGCGCTGTCGTTCATTCTTTTGTACTTTCTGGATGCTAAACAAATTCAACATGAGATATGAATTTCTGATTCCAAAAATGTAGTAACATTCCATAATGATTCTAGAACAAGTTGGTTGGTTATCTAGATAATGAATTTTTAGAATTTGGACAAAGGCTGTTTAATCTGTAATGGACATCAACAGAAATCCCCAAAATTCGATTGCACGCCTCAGTTCCGGAGGCGCATTGCATTACTCAATCGAAGCAATCCTTCCCGCTTAATCCTCTTTTATAGCAGCAGATCTTTTTCTTTCTGGCTAGTGTCTGTGTAGCTGCTGCTTATCGTTTTCTTCTTTTCCTTTTCCCCTTTTTTTCCAGCTAAACACAGGAAACCGCTGCACAATTGTTATTGGCCTTTTGGTGGTCAACAAAACTCTTTTCAGCTAAGCAGCTAGGTTGTTAAAGTAACCTGGCAGAAGGTCTGGAAGCTGAAAGGTTGCGGTGGCATAAACTAAAGGAGGGAGGTAAAGATGAGGGAGCAAGGGCAAAGCATGCTCAATGGATCAGGGGTACATAGGCCTTCCTGGGAGAAGATTTGGCTTCCAAAGGTGCTAGCTAAGAACACTATAGGGATATTTCTCTTGATTCTTCTATGCATCGGGGCCTTCTTCTCTACGCGCGTGCTGGATTCTTCTGTTATTGTAAGTACTGGACCTCCCTCCTCAGCACTTCTCATAGTTTGTGTTCTTGATGCTGCGTGCGTTATGTACCAGTATCTCATACTCTCAATTTCGCAACTTGCAGTCACTCTCCATAAATTCCCTAAAGAAATCAACTTTTTCCGCCATAACATCACATAATCAACCCGGGAATAAACAAGTCGAAATCCCGCTCAATTGTTCACTTGGTGATGCTACCCTGACCTGCCCAGCCAATTACTATCCATCACGGTATTCAGCACGAAATCCTGACCCTCCCTCAGCGGCAACGCAGCCCACGTGTCCGGACTACTTCCGTTGGATCCACGAAGATCTGTCGCCCTGGAAGGAGACCGGGATTACAGAAGCCATGGTGAACATGGCCAACAGGACGGCCAATTTCCGACTGGTAATACTGAATGGAACGGCGTTCGTGGAGACCTATGAGAAAGCGTTCCAAACCAGAGACACCTTTACTCTGTGGGGGATTTTACAGCTGCTAAGGAGGTACCCGGGCCAAGTCCCTGATTTGGACCTCATGTTTGACTGCGTTGACTGGCCCGTCATCAATAAAGATTCTCACTCTGGGCCCAACGCCACGGCCCCGCCCCCTCTGTTCCGCTACTGCGCTAACGATACCACGTTGGACATTGTTTTTCCCGATTGGTCATTCTGGGGTTGGTACGGACTTCGTTTATTTATTTTATTTATTTATTCATTCTGGGGTTGTTTAACAAATTTTGTTTTTCTCCTCTTAATGGAACGATTTATTTTCAGGCCTGAAATCAATATAAAGCCCTGGGAGGCTCTGTCTAAGGATCTCAAAGAAGGGAATGAGAGGAGCAGATGGGTGGACAGGGAGCCGTATGCTTACTGGAAGGGCAACCCTCAAGTTGCAGAAAAGAGGATGGACTTGCTCAAGTGTAACGTTTCAGACCAACAGGATTGGAATGCTCGTATTTATGCTCAGGTAATAACTAAGATTTTACGGGTAGCTCGAGTGGTTTCGATCCCCCTCTTTAGGGCATGTCGATCACGATTCGAGTCGTAGGTGTACCTCGTTCGGAGTTCAGATTAGGCGTCTTCCCCCGAGCTTCAGGGGATTAGTCGGGTCGCAAGGCCCGGACACCCCTTGGTGAAAAAAAAAAAAATAATAATAATAATAATAATAACTACGATTTTACATACGTGGCAACAACTTGGAGTATTATGTAGCCATAAATACGCTTTTATTAAGGTGATGAGATAGATCGCATTATAATAAAGACTGGAGGCAGTTTGTACTTAGCACTAGTTAGTTATTAAAAGCTTTTTGGCATTTCTCCACATTCACAGGACTGGGGTCGGGAACAGCAGCAAGGTTACAAAAAGTCCGATTTGGCAAGCCAATGCATCCACAGGTATATGAGAGTAACTAGTTTAAATTGGCTTTCATGTCTCCTTCTTGACCTGGAAATTTGTTGCTCTTTTTTGTCATTTCCCAAATTCCATGTCTTCTACTGTGATGCCTCTTCCTTTCGTCCTTCCTGGATATTACTTGTGTAGTTGGCCCGCGCTTGACGCATATATGCATCTCTAGTATCTTCGTACGTTTCTTTGTGCTCACTTCATCCAGAATTGAAATCATTCCTTCATTGTTTGAATTGTACAGATATAAAATCTACATAGAAGGATCTGCTTGGTCGGTCAGTGAGAAATACATATTGGCCTGTGATTCTGTAACTTTGCTAGTGACGCCAAAATATTATGATTTCTTCACTAGAGGTTTGACGCCTTTGCAACACTACTGGCCCATAAGGGAGGATAACAAGTGCAGAGCTATAAAGCATGCTGTTGACTGGGGAAATAGCAAAATAGAAAAGGTAATTTCTTGATCCATATTATCTGCAATATTCAGACTTCAACTTGGTTCATCATTGCTTATATGGCAGGGAAGTATTAATCGTTGGCTTCAGATTCTGCTGCACTTTGATTGATCAATCAGGGGTTAATCTCTTTGGAGATTTATCATCATCTGAAATCAGGGGTTAACCTCTTTGGAGATTTGACATCTTGATACATAACTCTCAGAATTTTTTATCTAATTGGCAGTTTTGCTTGAATCTGTCAGTGAGGATAAATAATCTGTCATTTCTTTCTTCACCTAATGGGAAGAATTTTAAGTTAATGGTTTCGAAACTTGTGTGCTTTGTTCCAGTGTTGCATCTCTATATAATAAAAACGTCATGATAACAAGCTTGTCAGTTGGCTAATGTTGAGGCCCCAGGAATTAGACGTCTTGGATTCTAATTCCCATGCCCCTCCCCCTCTTCTTAAATCCCACTTCTCTGCTAGGGGGGGAAAAAAGGGCTTTTGAGCAGATATATTGATACTATTTTTGGTTGATGTATATAACAGGCGCAAGCCATTGGCAAGGCAGCAAGTAATTTTGTTCAAGACGAGCTGAAAATGGACTTTGTCTATGATTACATGTTTCATCTCTTGCGTGAGTATGCGAAGCTTCTAAAATACAAGCCTAGCGTCCCTCCAAAAGCAATTGAACTTTGTTCTGAATCGATGGCTTGCCCTGCTCAAGGTCAGGAGAAGAAGTTCATGATGGATTCCACAGTTAGAGGTCCTAGCAGTGAAACTCCTTGCGGCATGCCGCCTCCTTATGACCCTGCAACTCTACATTCTATTATTGACAGAAAGCGAAACTCGATAAAGCAAGTAGAGACATGGGAACGACATTACTGGGATCAAAGAAGTAAGCATGTTTAGGAGTATATTATCTCGTTTTCATCCTGTTTGTATAAAAAATGTGCATGACACTGAAAAAGGTGTGTATTTTCAGACTTATAGCAAAAGATGTGCATCACAAAGGGAACCAGGTTTCTTTGTTCATTCAGCTCTCGACAGAGATGGATCTTAATTACGATGGAACGCTAGATAGCCAATTCTTGATCTCATACATAAAGTGCAGACAGAGATATGGATGTCCTTATTCTCTTTATTCACATATTGCCTTTCAGAAACAAAAAAGATAGAAATGTGTGAGCCTGCAAGATCTTGGATCCTTCCTGTCGGATAGTTGCTGGACAAATTGAGGGTTGAGACAGATCAAAAGATCCTTGTGCAAGTGCAAAATATAACATTCTCGCTCCACTCCAAGTCCTACCTGCAACATTCTCACAACTTGGCTTTGGAAATCAATGGCAGCAGCACATGCACTTGCAGATTCTTCCATGCTGACCTTGCCAACTGAGATTTCCAACAATGGAGGAACATCCTCTCAGGTGATTGCGTTCAAGATCCAGCAGCTGAAGCTGAAAGAGCAGGCGATGTTCTGGAGTTATAGTTACTTGGAACATATTTTATTATTTTTAAATAGTCGTGGCAGTATTCTGGAGGAATAGTTACTCGGAACATATACTATTATTCTTGTGTAGTCGTAGTCCCGTCTTTTTTTTTTTTTTGGTCGAAACGAATAGTAGTAGTCCCGTCGAGGTCTCAGAATTTTAAGTCTGCAGTATCTCTTTTGGTAGTTCTCCCGTACGCTATTTTTAGTCAAAGTGAAGTGAAAGGTTCAACGAGGGAAAATGCAGATTTATAGAGTCTGAGTGTAAAAATTGCCATAATTAAACGAGGAAAAATGAAATGAAAGGTTCCAAAGCAAATTGTACGCTATTTAGTGATTGAATCAAATACGGGAAAACAATGAGCAAACTTATTTCTTTTATCATTTTTTTCTTTGCAACACAGAAGAAGTGCGTCTATTTAAATTAAAAGAGAAATTGTGCAAAGTGCAAAATATATGATAAAAAAATTCTCCTATTCTTTTTGATGAGATATAATTTTTTCAACTTTTTTTTTTGTTAATTTTGGGATAGTGTGTAAAACTTACAAGATAGAAATGAATTTTACTTTTTTTTTGAGATGATAACTGTTATATAACCTATTTTATCCTATACTAAGGAGAAAGGTATGAAGAGATCCAAGAAAAATTTGAAGGGAACTAAACTACCACCGAATCAGACAGGTGCATTACGTATTTCACTTTTTTTTTTTTGTGTTAATTTTGGGATAGTGTTTAAAACTTACAAGATATAAATGAATCTAACTTTTTTTTTTTAGATGATAACTGTTATATAACCTATTTTATCCTATACTAAGAGGGGATGGTCTGAAGAAACTCAAGGGTAATTTGAAAGAGACTAAACTTCCACCGAATCAAACGGATGTACTATATACTCGTTTAAATTTATTAAACAGAGTCACTTAAAGTGATAATTGATAGAAGACAATATTTGAACATACTCTACGAACACAAAGCTTTAATGCTTTGGTGGTGGTGGTCAATCTAACTAGTTAGTTTTTTTTTTTTTTTTAAACGTTAGTTGACCTATCTTGTGGGGACTCCAACAAAGACAGTGGGAATTGGAAGGCCATTCGAATGTAACCTTTTAAAATTTTATTGCCGTACTTTCACTTTGCTCTTTTTATTTTATTTTTTGAGCAAAACTGTTCAATTTCATTGATGGAAAGAATAAGCGCTTGCACGTTAGGGGGGCCATCTTTACATTTACTATATATATATATATATTTTGTCGATACAAGAGTGTTCGGATTAATTCTTACGTGGCCCGACTAATCTCTTGCGGCCCTGTCCGGTGCCCAACTCAATCCGAACGCGATAAGTGTACGGAGAAATCCAACGGACTGAAAACTCGAATTTGGAACCTTAAGAATCATTGGTGAGAGATGGCCGTACGATCCACGCGGGGCTTACATTTACTATATGCTCGTGCTGCTCCTATATGTACATACTTTGCTGTCTATCAAAACATGGTTGCTTCTACTGTGCAAAGTGCGAATTTCTTCCTACCATGGGCAGAACCACTACAATCACAACAACTCAGCCTGGGACCATTGTGAAAAGCTTACGAGTCCACATAGGCTTTGGCAACCGGCAATCATAGGTGAATTACGTAGCAGAGGAACGTGGGACTTTCTAAAGGACTTTTTTTTTTTTGAAGGACTTTCTAAAAGATTAAAAGGGGGGAGAGAGAGAGAGAGAGAGAGAGGTCATTTTTTTTTCAAAAATAAAAATAAGAAAGAATTAAATATTTTTATTATTTTAAAATCATTTTACTTTTTTGTTTATCACTCAATTCCAATCCTAATACCGACAACTTTAAAGTAATACGATAATGTTAGAATCTTCTTTATTTTTTTTCTTTGCAAAATATAATTTTCTGTTTTCTTCTTTCCTATCTCTTTTTCTTTTCATAATATTAATAAGTGTAAAAAATAAATTTGAAAAATTTTAGTTTTATGTTTTGGGATCTTTTAAAGTGAAAAAAAATGATGACTAACCATTCCAACTTTTTTATTTTTAATTATATATAAAAAAAGGTAAATGCATTTAAAATTTTTTTTACTATACTAGTTAGATTAACAACGAGGTAAAATGCCTAGAAAATAATGTTAGGGATTAAAGCGACTGTATCACTATAATTTAAAGAAATAAAGTAACAATAATAATTAATAATGCTATAGAATAAAAGGGTATTTTTGTTCAAGATTTATTGACATGTTGAGTTGAATTATTTATGGGGTTAAATGACCAAAAGATCACGTTAAGGGGTAAACTGATAATAGTGATATAGTTTAAGGGAGGTAAAGTGATAATAACCCTTTTAATTACTTGCATACACTTATAAATGTCATGTACACCAGTATAATATGAAATTAAAAAAAATACTAGAACAAATTGAAAGAGTGAAGAAAATTTTGAAGAAAAAGAAGTAGGAAAAAGGGAAAAAATGTAAAAGGTATACGTGTATTTTTTTAGTTACTACCAAACATTTCATGGGTTCAACAAAAACCCATTATCATTAACTAATAATAGTGAGAGTGAATAATAAACTTTCAGTAAATAATTAGTTTTAGATTAGTTTTAGTTACTTGGTTCAGCAATAAAGTTGGCCATCATAAGAGAAATTGAAGGAATTTTTCACAATCATATGCATAGAAATTAAATATTATTAAAATTAGAAAATGATGGCATCGGATTCATGTTTTGAGAAAAGAAATTTGGCATTTAATGTCTTATTGTCTCTTGATTCTTTATGTTCCCCTAATTGAGCATTTACCTAGATGATGATTAATTTATCAACCAAATCTAATGCATAGACATATATGCAATTTAGTCCTTTAGAAAGTCCTTCAAAAAAAAAGTCCTTTAGAAAGTCCCATGTTCCTTGCTACGTAATTCACCTATGATTGTCTACCGGTTGCCAAAGCCTATGTGGACTCGTAAGCTTTTCACAATGGTCCCAGGCTGAGTTGTTGTGATTGTAGTGGTTCTGCCCACCGTGCATAGGCAGGTCAGCTTTCCACCATAGATGGAACCATCAAAACATGCATCCACACTTGTTTACCATTTTCGTTTCGGTCCAAGTCACATTCACCTTTTGCATTCACACTTTCTGCCTTTACCATTTTCTACTTCTCTTGTTTAGGTTTGATTTCTGATTTTTTATTTTTTTTTACAGTTGCTTACACCAGTCATAACTTCTTTTTTTAGAGTTGTCTCGAAATCAGACAAGTGGAGATTTTACCTTATTTGCAAAATATCATCTGAAATACATTTTTAAATTATTTTTTATTTTATATATATATTACATTATAAAAAATGTTAAATTAATTATTTAAAATAATATTTTAAATACGCTTCATTATGCTTTCTTTTAATGCATCAGACGAGATTTAAACCTCATCATGCGCCAAAGAATTAAAAGACGCTCAGCTCTTGATGACTATCACGCCAAAGACCAATTCCACCAATCATAAGTCATCCCACCCACACTTGTTGCCTCTTGGTCTTGGCTCGTTTTCCTTTATCTATTTTTTATTTTTTTGCCCAATAGTCTTGTAGACACCAAATTCAAAAAATGGGTCCCATAATTTTTGTCTTGACTCCATCTCTGACATGATCAATAAGTGAGTCAGATTTGGTGAACATGGAAAATTTTCAATAATGCGTTCATTACGGGACTAACATCCGGTCATTAAAGGTGTTAAACACTTTCAACAGTGTCCATAGTTATTCTCAGTACAAATTACAGCTGTTCATCTTCTCTCTGGGAGATTGTTTTAAGATACTACTACTATATAATGTTTTAAAATACTGGTATAAACTATTCCAGCGATAAGCAAGGTGAACAGGAACAAAGGCCACGTCCGGTAACTCGGTAAGTCGTGTCGTCAGCGTTAAGAAACTCCGTTCCTTTCCGGAACACCCGTCATACCCGCCCGGTGACTTAGCATTATATTAATACATTCTGATGAACAATTTTTAAAGGGACAAAATGTCATATTTAAGTGATTTGTTTCAAAAAATTCAGGCCAGTATGTTGTGCATTTGTTTGATCCGGTGGTGGTTCAGTTCCCTCTAAATTTTTTCTGAGCCTCCTTAGATCCGCTCCCTCCTCCTTAATGTAGAATAAATTAGATTATACAACTGTTGTCGTTTTTAAAAAAAAAAAAAGTATACTAGTTCCGTGAGACGCAGCTTATCCATGGTCAAATAGATTTTTTTTTTTTTTTGAAACAAGTCAAATAGAGGATTCAAATCCTGTTATAAGTCTAGGTTGAGTAGAAAATATTTGTTCGGGTGATATTTTTTCTGTACATTGTACCATTTGAAATAGTAGACTGAGTGTGTTTGGATTGTAAATTATTTAAAATAATTTTATAAAAAAAATTGTATCACTTTTTTTATATGATGTATGTGAAATAAAAAAGTGATTGAAAAATGTGTTAATGATGCAAACAAATTAGTGTGTGTGAATAAGATGTAAATAAAATGAAATAATAGAGAATCCAAAATTATTCGTTTTTGTAGTCATTTAGGGTCTGTTTGTTTCAATGTAGAATATTTTCCCTAAGAAAACATTTTTAATGAAAATGCTTTCCTGGAAAATATCTAATTTTCCCTTCATTTTCTGGTGTTTGGTGCAATTTTAAGATAATGTTCCAAAAAAATTAAAATCCTCCGACAATAATATTGTCCTCGGATTTCTCTTTCGGTAATTGCTACTACTAATTATCATTACCTCTACCCACCTCATCAGTCACCACAAACAATCCCCAATCCAAATCCTTTCAAGTCCCAAAAAATAAATTAAAGACCATAACCAAGAACTCACAATCTCCCAAACCTAGTTGAGTATCATTGTAATAAAAAGTTTAAATTATTGATTGAACCATTATAAGAAATTAAAAATTGTAACTTGATGTTTATTGTATTAACTCTTCTTCTAAAAGTATTCCTCCTGCCTCCATTGGCTTCACTTTTTTTTTCCTTCTCCAAAGCTTCTCAATGTAAAGCCCAATTTAGATCTAGAATTGCATAATCCATAAATGTGTTTG